GGCAAAGAGCAATAGGGGCATGGGGGGAGGCAGGATTATGTGGGACTGCAGTGGGGTTGGGCGAATGGGGGGCACTGGAGGGCATGGGGAGGATATAGGGGAGCACTGGAGGGGAGAAAGGGAAGATTGTGGGGGAAGATGAGGGAGCAGTATTGGGGGGAGATGAGGGGGTAGAATAGGATGGAGGTGTGTGGAGATGTATGGACTTTGGAGGTGGGGAAGGGCTGCCAAGGGTCCAGGATGGGGAGAGGGGTGTGAGGCTGAGAGAGGCTCTGGGAGCTGTGCTGGGATGCTGAAGGAGGTTTCTGGGAGGATGGGGAGCCCTTGGGAGACAAAGCCTTCTGGAACCATGTTAAGAGGAAGAGGCACTCCTGAAGCTCCCGTTTGGGTTGGCTGCGTTGCTGTCAAGCAAGGGACAAACCCGAAGGCGTTGGGAGCCAGCCCGACTGCGTGGTTGTTTGTAGGGAGTTCCTGTGTCTGGGAGCATTGTTTAGTTCTGGTCTGAACTTGGCTGGGGGGAGCCCTTGGGAGACAAAGCCTTCTGGAACCATGTTAAGAGGAAGAGGCACTCCTGAAGCTCCCGTTTGGGTTGGCTGCGTTGCTGTCAAGCAAGGGACAAACCCGAAGGCGTTGGGAGCCAGCCCGACTGCGTGGTTGTTTGTAGGGAGTTCCTGTGTCTGGGAGCATTGTTTAGTTCTGGTCTGAACTTGGCTGGCTTGTAGACTGGCTTTTTTTTTTGCTTTTTTTCGATTACGATGCTGGGGAAGCGCTGCTTTGGGGCTATATAATTGTCCCATCCGAGCAGGGGAAGTAACGGGGTACTAGAGCTGGCCAAATCCCAAGCTGGGTATCTTGTGCAGCGTCCCTGCTTCTAGCCCAGAGTCTGGGGGAGAAATGACAGTCGCATGGCCTCTGCACGTTCACAACCACCCACCTCCCCTTTGGAGGTGCCTCGGTGACGGGCGAGCTCTTTTTTAATAGAGTTTGGGATCACTCCTTATGAAAGGTATTGTGCAATTCTCTATTTTAGCCTGTGAAATTAAATAAAAACTTTTTCTCACTACTTTTTCTGGTTAGTGGATGTCCTCAGGGTTCAAGCAGTGAAGTGGGCTCTTTGAACCTGCTGTATGTGTCAGATATATAGCGAGGGCTTTTATTTCTCCAGAAAAGTAAATTTAAGTAGCAGGTTTGCAACCTGTAACGACAGTCCTGCAGGGTCTCTGACTCAGCCGGTGCCTTGGGGAGGGCAGGGCGAGGAGGAGTGTGGATCAGAGCGCTGGGTGCAGTGAAACTGAACCTGATTTCGCCACACAGCTGATCTCTGCGCAACACCCATCACGTCAAAATACGAGGGGATGCTGGAGCCCCAGGCCCTCAAATGCCTGGTTGAAACTTAGAGTGCTTGCAGGGGGTGCCAGAATGCTGTACACGTGCACGCGACCTGGGCGTTGAAAGAAAATGGTCTCTGTGTCCAAACTTGTCCCTGTCCTTGGAATATGACATGTTCACAAAGCAGCTTGTCAGTTTGTGAACGAGCTATAATCTTTAAAGGCACGCGATGATGTCTTAAATATGAAACAACCAGTCACTTTGTTTGAAAATGCTGAGCAGAGGTGCCATCCTTGTAGACTTTATGGCACAGTAACCACACGACGTTGGCGTTACGCGCTCTGTCTGTAGCTGCCCTCACTAATTTACTGCGTGGTGAGGTTTCAGTGCCTTGTTTCCCCCGCTCTTTAACAAGCTGGCAAACATCCACAGCGTGTCCTAGGGTGAAAGTGTGCTTTTATTGTCAGGGAAGGCATAATCTGCAGTTGTGGGAGGACAGTTTGTTATAGGCTTTTATTTTCCATGCAGAGAGGTTAAAGCAGTGCGATCCAGTGCAGCAATTCCCTGAAGGGAGGTCCCTGGGCGCTGTTTGGGATGGGGTGCAGGTCTTCCTTGAGCCATAAATTTCATAGAGTCATAGAATCATGGAATGGTTAGGGTTGGAAGGGACCTCAAAGATCATCTAGTTCCAACCCCCCTGCCATGGGCAGGGAAACCCTCCATTACACCAGGTTGCCCAAAGCCTCATCCAGCCTGGCCTTGAACACTTCCAGAGATGGGGCATCTACAGCTTCTCTGGGCAACCTGTTCCAGTGCCTCACCACCCTCAGAGTGAAAAATTTCTTCCTTATATCCAATCTAAATCTCCCCTCTTTCAGTTTAAATCCATTGCCCCGTGTCCTGTCACTACATGCCCTTGTAAAAAGTCCCTCTCCAGCTTTCCTGTAGGCCCCCTTTAGGTACTGGAAGGCTGCAATAAGATCACCCTGGAGCCTTCTCTACTCCAGGCTGAACAGCCCCAGCTCTCTCAGCCTGTCTTCAGAATGGTTTGGGTTGGAAGGGACCTTAAAGACCATCCAGTTCCAACCCCCCTGCCATGGGCAGGGACACCTCCCACTACACCAGGTTGCTCAAAGCCTCATCCAACCTGGCCTTGAACATTTCGTGGCAAGAGGGCGTCTTGTGCTGGAGAAAGAACCTGAGCTGTAGGGAAGGGTCTAGGTGGGATGCAGAGGATGGTGAAAAGGTAACTGGGTATCGTAAGGATCCTTCATGGAAATCCTGAGGGGTGGTGAGATTGTGTGCGAGGGTTTGAACTTGCACAGTGAATTCTCCTTCATTGGCTCCCTGTGTGGGGACTTGCTTATCCCCAGAAGACAGGAGGAGTTGAGTTCACGTACTCTTAATCTGCACTGATGTCCACGAGCAGATGAGCTCGTCTGCTGCTCTGTAAGACATGGGGTGGGATGTGTTTAGCAGAGTGAACTTGAACAGGCTCTGGAAGTCGGGGTTTGCCCAGGGCATTTCACTGGCAGCCTGAAGTGAAGATGACAATGATGATTTTTTCAAAGCTTCATGTAGTTTTGTGCTTGTATTTTCTAGATAGGGTCTTGAGCATCTTCTATTGAGTTTCCAAAAGCTTGATTTAACCTGATTTTACTGTAAGGATAGTTGCCCCAGGAAAATACCTTTGTGCAAAGAACACACCGTTTTACTGTTGCACCAGGAGTGGGTGAACTCCAGCAGAAGAATTGTTTGGGTGTGGGATTTGCACCGTTTGCATCTACTTTGACTGAAAATAGTGCCATGCTCGCAGGAGGAAGAACTAGAGCTGCGTGCTGTGAGGAAGTAGCCCTTTCTCCTGAATGTAAAGATTGGTGATGAAATATTAATGCTCCCAACTGAGTCACCAGCCAGACCGGATTGGGTCTCCTGCTCCCTGAAGTGATCGGGAGTTGTACAACTACATGAACAACTTGGTCTGGTTTCCCAGGAAAATGAGGCTTGTGTGATATTGCTGCTGTCGACACGTTTCCTGCTCCTGGCAACTTTCGAGTCCGTGGTACTGACAGCGAAATCAGGCAGACAGCAGAAATCTGAAAGTTAAATTTCTGCAAGTTTCATTAAAACAAGTACCCTGGGAGAAGAGGAGGAAAAACCCAACCAGTTAGCGGTACCTGCTGTGGGAGAGTGCTGCATGAGCTCAGCTTTTGCTTGGGTAGGAGAAGAATCCACATGGGGAGGTGATCCGTGGGATATCCTTGCAGGAAGGTGACTTTGTTAACGCTGGTGCCTGTCGGATAGCTCATCAGGTGCCCTCGTGGGGTGCAGTTGGTAGGGACTGGGATCCTTCTGAAGGGGTTCAAGCAACAGGAACGGGTGAAAGTGACGCAGATGCACTAGTGTTTGCTTGTTGACAGAATTAGCTGCTTTGTTTCTCGTTTCTGTTAGGAAATAATGAGAAACTGAGGCAAAAAGGCGACGTGCTCTGTCTGATGAGTCATTGTCTGAACTGGGATTAGACTTACGTGCCTCTTGGCGCGTGGGTTTCTGTGCAGAGCATGGTTGCGTTTCTCCGTGAAACCTGGGAGCTCTGTAAATGTGAGATACCGTAGTGGGTCTGAACTGCCTGGAGAGGACATTGGAGAGCTGGAATTTGCTGAGTGGGGACTCACAGATGTGGTGCCCAAAGCCCCTCCTGCCCAACTCCCTCCTCTTAACTCGTGCAGTGTGATGTGAGTTGCTCAGACTCTACTGAATTGTCTTCCCCAGAACTGGCATTAAAACCTTCTTTGTCTGGCCATACCCCAATTTCCAAATGTCTGTCGTATTTAAGTCTAAGATAAAGTTTTCTGAATCCATGGAGATACCTGTGCAAGCAGGATGGGAGACCCAGTCTCCTGTGAATGGATGCACTGCCGAAGGACGGTGCCTCGGCTGTGATTCTGTTTGAAAGAATTCGTAGTTTTCCCTATTGTGACAAAATCCTTTCTGCTCCCAGGTGATGTTGGAAACTACTACTATGGCCAGGGACATCCAATGAAACCCCACAGGATCCGGATGACCCACAACCTGCTGCTGAACTATGGCCTCTACAGGAAGATGGAGATATATGTAAGTGTAAGGCTGGTCACGAAGAGAGCTATGTATGGAAGACCTTTGTTTATGTGTCAGGTTTTAATTTTGATGCTTCAGACTTGTAAGTTCTCTGTTGATGAGCCGAAGAGGAAAAGGAAAAAAAATAAACAGTCGTGCTGATGTATTTCTGCTTTCTTCTGATTGCTTGTAGTGAGGTGTTCTTTGCTTCAGATAAGCTTTGGAGACTGGTAAATTGCTTTTCTCGTTGTAACTTAAATATTTAGATTAGATTTGAGGAAGAAATTCTTCACTGTGAAGGTGCAGCAGGCACTGCACCAGGTTGCGCAGAGAAGTTGTGGCTGCCCCATCCCTGGAAGTGTTCAAGGCCAGGTTGGATGAGGCTTTGAGCAACCTGGTGTAGTGGAGGGTGTCCCTGCCCATGGCAGGGGGGTTGGAACTGGATGGTCCTTAAGGTCCCTTCCAACCCAAACCAGTCTGTGGTTTTCTTTGTCTAGATACGTAGCACATTCCAGTCTCCAGTAATGGCATTCTTGCCTTTGAAAATAAGTTTCTCTTGTTTAATGCTGCTGGTTTGAGTTTTTTTGCAGTTCCTGGGAGTAAATCTGGGATTGGAAATGGGAATTTGGGAGAGAGGTGTGTTTCAAAACAAACCTTGCTCTTTTTTTGTCCTTGCAGCGCCCTCACAAGGCAAATGCCGAAGAAATGACCAAGTACCACAGTGATGACTACATAAAATTTCTGAGATCCATTCGCCCAGATAACATGTCTGAGTACAGCAAGCAGATGCAAAGATGTAAGCTGTGTGTGTAGTGCTGAAATTCCTGCCAGTGTTAAAATTTGTGGCTCTGGGTATCCTAGGCGAGCTTTGGAGGTTTGTGATGAAAGGAGGAGGAAGAACTGCGGGAAATTGTCTTTCTCCTGACTTTGTTTTTGATTTTTCTGGTAAATCATGCATTTTAAAAATGGGTCCCTCTCTCAAGCCAATATGCCAAAGAGCTGAGGAAACCCCTTTGACCTGGCTGTCTTTTTTCGGTCATATGTTTTGATGGAAACTTTTCTAAATTGATTCCTGGCTGAGAGATGACTAAACTGCTCCATTTTTGAGCTGCCTGTATTTTGTGTGATTGCTTCTCTTTAACCAGAGCTATTGGGGTGGGAAAGGCATGTGCAGTTTAAAACAAACAAACAAAAAAACCCCAACTCATCAATTGTGTCCAAAAAAAACCCCAACTCATCAATTGTGTCCAAAAAAATACCCCAGCTCATCAATTGTGTCAAAAATCTGCAGTAACTCTGAGGGATTTTCAGGGCAATGGCAGTTTGGAAGTGGGGGAGAGTTGAGATGTGCAATGATACCTGTCCACTTGGTGTTAGAATGGTTTATTTTGTGAGCTAATCTCTTGTTCTAACCTCTCCAGTCCATGGAAAGGCTCTTTAATGGCAACTTTAATGTTACAAAAACCTTTTTTGGCCTCTCTGCAACTCTGAGCTGATGTTCTTTGGCAATGACCATGGCAAACTGGATTTCTAGCAAGTATCTACAAATAGTGAGGAGGGCTCAAGGTTCATTTAAACAGTGTTTTGATCTTGCTCACTGCAGTCCTCAAGAGCAGAAAAAAGCTGTTAGCCCATGGGATTTGTTTACGTGGAGTAAGTGTAATCTCCAATTTAGAAGAAATACGGGTCTCAAGTCTGAAGTAGGGGCACTTGGAAATCCATTAGGAGCCGAAGGGGACAGATATTAAGGCACAAGTGTGTAAGAGGAATGGGTAGTGTGGTTCATGAGTAATATCCATGGAAAGACTTCCTGCAGTAAATGATATGCCTTCGTATCCCAAGCGACATATACCAAAGTACATATTTACACGAACTGAACTGTTTACCCCTGAAGCAGCCACGGCTCATGAACGCCCACTCTGCTCTCACTGGTAGTCAACATTTTCTGTACTGCACTTCCACAGAACTATTTTTACCTGAAGGAGGCAAATATGAAAATTAATCTTCAACATGCAGAGGGCAGAGCTTTTCTTCAACAAGACCTGCAGAATAATAGCCTCTGCATAGAGAACTAGCCCAGGAGGCTCGGAACAGGGATTAGGGATATAAGAGACGAGATCCCAAGTACAGTGGTAGGTCTCTGTAGCCTGCGTGGTGCTTCAGCTTTCCCTTTGAGGGAAGGATAGCTGCTCTGATTTCCATAGGGATGGTTCCACCTCTAATGCTGGGCACTTTCTGGTTGTGCTATCCCAGATACGAAGCTCCTCACTCACCCGTTGCAAGGAAGAAGGAGCATCTGTGCCTCTCATCTTTCACCAGAGCTTTATGCCTATAGTCAAGTGATTGACCCCTGTTATTAACATCCCTCCTTAGTAGTCCTGGCTGCTTTGACTGTCCTGCTGGGAAAAAGCCCACTTGGCTTCTGTTTACACAGCAGCTCCTGTCTTTGCCAAGTATAGCAGAGGGATGCCCTCAAATACCGTCAGTGCTGCCCACGGAGTTCTGAGAGGCAGCAAAGGTAACGAACAGTCTCTAATTTCATTCAGCTAATGCTGTGTTGCCTGCCTGAGGACTTGGGAAGACTACCCTGTGACATAAAGGGCAAGGAGTTTAATTTGTTATAATAGCAAGCATGCAGAAATTGATTACTCAAATTCTTCTCACTTAACAGGGAAAGCTTCCAACTACTTCTTTGAATTAATTATTCAAACTCTGCCAGTTGCCATGCCCTGCTGAAACAATTGGAAAGCAGGAACAATTGCTTCCTTCTGGGTCTCCTCATGGGTATTGTCCTTTTCAGAGATCCCTGTCCCGAACTGGGACCATTCAAACTCCCTTATCACTCAGTCTTTGTGGAGACTGTGCACTGATGAGTTTCTAATGCTGCAAGAACTGTGGTGTTTGTGCCTTTCTCATAAGCACAGAAGTAAACATTCTACAGATGTTGTTACAAAAATACAACTTTTTTCTGTTTGTTTGTAAAAGCAAATCTTGCAAAATCTAGATTCAGTACAAGTCTGTTGTTACTGTTTTTATTTTTAATCATGAAACTATTTACAGTAGAAATTTATGCAGGCCAGAACTATGGTACTACTGAGAACTTTCAACTGAATGCTCAGTGTGAAGTGAAAGGAATGTACAAAGTGTAACAGAACAGATGTGGGTGTAAACTTCTTGTCCAGGGCACGCCACTATCTGCCATCTCCCCACTCTCTTCTGCAGAGCTCGGTTTCTGCACCGTTTGCTTTCTCAACTCCTCGTCAGCGTTACAGCAGGAAACAGGAGCAGAAACCTTTCCTGCGTGCCGTGGGGTTGTGTAATGGAGCTTGACATTAGCTCTCTCATCAGGAGCAGCACTGTTCCCCCCGGCAGACACGGTGCCCAGGCAGCAGGGCTGCCCGTGTGGGGTAGCGAGGGGTGCTGGCCCCTGCTTTGCACAGCCTGTGTGTGCCCCTGGTGGGCAGCATCTGCTGCCAGAGCAGAATAGAGTGTGAATGTGCCATGTCAGCGCTGCTTGAGTTACCACTGAGGACCAGTATCAGGATTACCAAGCTCTTGTTGATAGCATCTCCTCTCCGCCCACTCGTTTTCCAGCGTGATTGACTGGTTTCAGGATCCCTCATGCTGCTCTCACCAGAGCTCCTGGGACCTGCTTTCACGTTTTCTCACAAGTCAGGAGCATCTTCCCTACAACAAGAGCCTTTTTGCCTCGTCAGGCAATCCTCAGGTTGATTACGTTAACGTTGTATTATTTGTGTGTGGTATTTTGCTGTTTGAAACGTTTGATTGCTTATCTGGGTAGCTTTTTTAATCAGAGTGGAGGTATAAGCCTTGCCATTTATTTGTGGTTTTGCCTTACCGACTCTTTTGTATTCTTTTCAAGTTAATGTTGGGGAGGACTGCCCCGTGTTTGATGGGTTGTTCGAGTTTTGTCAGCTCTCTGCCGGAGGCTCCGTTGGTAAGCTCACAAGTCGGATGTTCTTTCCTTTTTTTGTTAAGCAGATGCATGTAATGTAGGTCTGTTAGGAAATAAATTGTTGTAGGTGGTGGTGGGGAAGCCCTGGGAACCTATTTCTGATTTCCTTACTAATTAGATCCAGATTTTTTTCCCATGTGAGAGCTCAGGCCTTGCATATTGACAGGTCCCTCTACGTTTGTTAAGCATATCTTTGCTAGTCTGGGTTACTTCACTGAATATTCAGACCCTGGAAGTGGTGTAACAACATTACCAGCAATAGAGTTAAAACAAAACCACAGCAGCAACAGGGTTTAATAAAAAAATCAACATGAGATTTACAGAAAAAAAAAAAAAAGTTGTAAAAACCTTGCTCTGGGCAGGCATAACCTGGAAAGGAAAGAAAAGAGTTACTTTATTTGTTGTTTTTAACAATAAGCTACTGTCTCTGGACACGAGGGAAAAGAGAACCTGAAAGGTTTCAGCAAGCTCCCTGAAAGCTGTGAGGTTTCAAATGCTTTCACTGTTTTAAAGTACTTTGTTGCAGAAAGGCTGGTGTTGCGGAGCTGCGGGAACTGGTTAAAGCTTTGTGGCTGCTGCTCCCGCAGTGACATCTGCGAGTCCTGGTTTCCTGTAGCACAGTTCAGCAGTTCCTACAAGTACTGACTGCAGCACTTTTGGAATCAGCTCTATGCTCTCTGGTCCCACGACTGGAGATTCCACAGAATATGTGATTCATTTTGATCCTGGGAGACTTGCAAAATTTGCAGAAAGTTTATGAAGGGGCTGGAGGGAGAGGACTGCCGTTGCCTAAGTGCATGTTCAGGGAATGGCCGAAATATGTGATGGATAAAACCTTTCATGAAAATCCTTTGTTTAGGGCACTGAGAGATCTAGGCTGTCTTCAACTGTGACCCTGGCTGGGATGCTCTGGACTTGTTTGTGCAGATTTCATGCTCTGAGGCAAAAGTGTGATCAACAGTGTGTGCAGGGAAAACAGGCTGCGTTTCTCTTCCCTTGCCTTTCGTTAGTTTGTCGAGACATCCAGTGTTAAACCCCGTGCTTGGTGAAGGACCCAAACACACACAAAGGCAATGGTGTGATCGTGAGGTCTCTGCTGTGGGTCCTTTGCTCCCGTGCTAATATTTTGTAATTCTTCTCCCAACAGCCAGTGCCGTGAAGCTGAACAAGCAACAGACGGATATTGCTGTGAATTGGGCAGGAGGCCTTCACCACGCTAAAAAGTCGGAGGCTTCTGGCTTCTGTTATGTCAACGACATCGTCTTAGCTATCTTGGAGCTCCTGAAGTACGGGCAGTACTGTTTACCCCTTTTGTTTGTCTGTTCTGCTGCATTTCTTCTGAGTCCTCAGCACTTTCTTCCCAGTCTTCTCTTTTTGTTGCTTTTTTTTCAGCTGCATTTTCCTGGGAGGGCGTAATCAGCTATCTTTTGGGATATGGCACCCTCTCTCCCAAAGGGATGTGTCTAATGGTGACACTGTTCAGGAAGCAGAAGGCTCGGAGCACTCTGCAGTTGCTCTTAGGCCCTTCTTTCCACCATCCACCCTGGGAAGGAGGCACAGCTGTAATATGTGACAGCTTTTGGCTCAAGGCAAACCTCAGTGGGAGGCTTGGACATAAAAATGCAGTCTGTTGGCTGAGTCTGAATAAACTGAGTTGAATCTGCCTGCAAAGATCAATTGCAGCAGCAAAAGCCACTTTGTTTTCCTCTGTGGTTCTGTTCCACTGCTGACCAAGGCTGATGTCCGTTCTCCGCAGCTCTTTTCCTTGTAGACTCCGGAGAGGGAGCTGGCTGGTAGCCGTGCAGCCTGGGGATTAGCACCGAGCTCCTGCAGTTTTTGCTCTGAAGAAATGCAATATTTTGATTCTTTTCTGATCCTAGGTATCACCAGAGAGTGCTGTATATTGACATTGATATTCACCACGGAGATGGCGTGGAGGAAGCCTTTTATACCACAGACCGTGTCATGACCGTGTCCTTTCATAAGTACGGAGAATACTTCCCGGGAACAGGGGACCTACGGGTGAGAGCGAAGGCTTAGCAGAAAATTAACCTGAAATTTGGTCTTTTCCATGTTTGCTGTCATACTGATTTAGCTAAAATCACTCATCTCCTGGCTTTTCCTGCTCTTTCTGAGGGCAAAGGTGTACATGTGAGGCAGCAGGCTCAGCTCTCAGTGGGTGATCACAGCCTATATAATAATAAAACCAAGGGTTTGATGCCAGTCTCTTATCAGCCTCCTGGTGAGATTATGCACAGAAAAGTGGCTCTGAAGATGGCATTACTGGTCATCTGTAGCTACTTGCAAACCAAGCTTAGTCACACAAGCTTTTCGGTGAAAGTTTGTCGTGTTGGCATTTCCTCCTGTGAGTCAGTTCTGCAGGTTAATGAATTGTGATGTTGGCTGTGGCACTCTCTCAGGTAGGATACAGGTGTGGTTCACTTGGTGACTTCTGGCATTGCCAGGATGCTCAGGGGTGAAAGGTTCTTCACGTTTTTTATGCGCTTTTTAGTCGAGTTGTGTTTTTATGATCTAAATTATCTTGTCTTCCAGTTGTGAGTTGTGTTTTCTCAGCCCTGCCTGTTGTTTGGCCTTGATGATGTGAGCCTCCGTGCGGCCTGGCGTTCTGTCCCGGTGCAGCCACTCTGCGCTATAAATGAAATTCTTAATTTTTTGTTTTTATAAAACACTTGGCTATGAGAGAAATAACGGAAACGTAAAAATATATGTATTAAAATAAAAATAGATTCCTTCAGTTACTAGACTGCATGATCAGCCCGAACTGGTGTTTTGGGCTGTGCATCCCTGTGGTATATGGGTTGGAACTAGAATTTTGGCTGCCAGTTTTACTGCTGTGTGAGAGAGTGGCTTTTGCCAGCGAAATGCAAGCCTGTGTGCTCACAGCAGCATGAAAGTGGTGAGACAGTAGCAAATTTTTCTTCTCTGAGCTCTGAGGGCCACATGCACCTGCTTATGCCAAGCAAGCTGCTGTTGGAGTCAACTGACTCTTGCTGTCTTCTGCCAGGACAGTGAGAGCCTGAGCTTACGTTTGGATTATGCTGATGGAATCCCAGACCTCCATTCCTAATTTGAGGCACAATTTATGTGTTGCAGTTGGTTCTCTGGTGACTTGTGGTCTCTCCTGTCTTTCGCTCTAACAGGACATTGGTGCAGGCAAAGGCAAGTACTACGCTGTCAACTACCCGCTCCGGGACGGGATTGATGATGAGTCCTATGAAGCGATATTCAAGCCGGTAAGTGGCGATGTCTTTGCTGAGCGATTCCTTGTGGGTCATGCTTTGTCACTGGGGGGCTCAGGGAACCATTCTTTGTGGAGATTCATTCAGTCTCCTGTGATAAGATTCTTCGGGGGCTGTATTCCTCCCTAACAATTGCAGCCTGTGGTCAGCAAGTTTATCTTTGTAAGAGCCTCAGTGTTACCAGTATAGGGGGTTCGGCAGCTGTGGGAACACTGGGGATGTCTTCATGTCACTTGCTGACATGGCCGTTACTGTGACACTGTGCTGTGGAGAGTGTGTAACAACGGGTTTCTTGTTTAGGTGATATCTAAAGTGATGGAGACGTTCCAGCCTAGCGCAGTTGTCTTGCAGTGCGGGTCAGACTCTCTGTCAGGGGACAGGCTGGGTTGTTTTAATCTGACCATCAAAGGTAAGAGTACCATGCAGTGCCAGTCTTGAACTGGCATAACTGGTGTAATCAGATTTAATTGAAAAGTTTGTTCTTCTTACGCCATGAGGCTATGACCTTTTCCTCCACTGCTTTTGCTGCAGGTCATGCCAAGTGTGTGGAGTTTGTAAAAAGTTTTAATTTGCCTATGCTGATGCTGGGAGGAGGCGGCTATACGATCCGCAACGTGGCTAGATGCTGGACCTATGAGACTGCTGTGGCTCTGGACACTGAAATTCCCAATGGTAATTCTCCCTGGGAGCCTTTGAAGCAAGCCTAAGGGACAATGATGGTCTAGAAACAGAGCTCAGGGAGATGATGGTGCTGTGGGAGAGGCAGCAACCCTGAGATGTTTCATTACCTCTTGATTGTTACTGTGGAAGAGCTTTTGGATGCCCTGATTTGCAGTAGCTGTTCTTCTTTGCTTTCTAGTGCTGTAGCTCTCCCCTCCAGCAAAGAATACCCAGCATCCTTGCTGTCCTACTTAAATGAGATGATCTACTGAAAAGTTTTGTGTGCACTGATAGCGTTTAACTGCCAAGTAAGCTTTGACTGCACTGTTGCTAAGTTGTCTGCTTTGATCTGAGTTTGGGCTAGGAGAGCTTCGGCTCCTGTGCCTGGGTAAATGCTTTCTGTAGAAATACAGTGTGTTTGTGGCATTTTTGTCACCAGTCCAGTGGTAATTTGGTGTTTATTCCTTTTTAACTTCTCTGCAGAACTGCCATATAATGACTATTTTGAGTACTTTGGACCAGACTTTAAGCTCCACATCAGTCCCTCGAACATGACTAACCAGAATACCAATGAGTATCTCGAGAAGATCAAGTAAGTGTTTGCTCTTCTTCACGAGACTGACACCTTCCGCCAGGGGCTTCAAAGCCCGTGGTGGCATCTTGCTGACGGAGATGTTCTTTTCCTGGCTGGCTCTAGGCAACGTCTCTTCGAGAACCTGCGCATGCTGCCTCATGCCCCTGGCGTTCAGATGCAACCAATTCCTGAGGATGCTGTTCAGGAAGACAGTGGAGATGAAGAGGAAGAAGATCCTGAGAAACGGATTTCAAGTATGTGCTTGTCTCCGGCATAGTTGTATTGCCCGGCTGGGAAGCGTACTGCTCAGAGCCTGTGGGTGCAAAACCGGACAGGATCAGTTAGCTGGAGAAGTGTGTGGGCTCTGAACTGGGTTGCTTTAATAAAGAGAGAAGGATGTATGATTTAGATATGTCTCAATTCTGGAGTCCTCTGGTTTGTATCTGTTCCCACCTTTCTGATTGGTTTTGTAAGGTAAAGCACTGATGCCAAGCACTGTGGGGCTGATAGATTTCTTTTCCCTTGGAGAAATCACACTTTTGCCAGATGATTTCCGTAATGGGAGAACCTAGGCTCTAATGTGAGAATTTAAACAGTTCCTGTGGTGTAGGTGCTATGACAGAATACATTCTGGGAGACTGTCAGGTTTGTTCCCAGAAGTTGTCTTCCACAGTGAAAATGCCAGTTTATATCCAGATTGGCTGATGGCCTTTAGATCTGGCAGACAGATTTTCTCAGTGTGAGGCTGGTTAACCTGCTTATGCTGTCAAGTCTAGACATCACACTGTACCTAATCCAAGTTGTACATGTGATCCTGGATCTGAGGCGTGAGCGGTTAGGAGCGGTGAGTTAAAAGATACAGCAGGTAGAAAGAGAAAACGTTTTTATCATGGCCTGATTCTGACTTATGTAGGCTTGTTAGTTCATTCCAGTGTGTAGATGGACTGGGAGAAGTTAGTGCTTGGTGTCTCCTGGCTTCTGAATCTGCTGAAACAACCCCTTGTCCTCTTTGCACTCAGTCCGCAATTCCGATAAGAGAATATCCTGTGATGAAGAATTCTCCGACTCTGAAGATGAAGGGGAAGGAGGGCGCAAAAATGTTGCCAACTTCAAGAAAGCTAAGCGTGTGAAAACAGAAGAGGAAAAGGAGGAAGAGGAGAAGAAAGGTAAGCATGAGAGCTAGGACTATAGAAGCCCTCCCAGCTCTGTGGAACTTTGCCTGGCATGTACTTTCCTACTGCACTACTGTGTGTCTATTTTTTTTTTCCCCGCTAGATGAGAAAGAAGAGGAAAAAGCAAAAGAGGAGAAAGCAGAACCCAAAGGGTGAGCCCTGTCTCCTGGCGTGGTGCTCAAATGGCTGTGCCTGTACTTCCTTGTGTATCTACCCATGCCCCCAGTGGGATGTTGCACAACTTGAGGGGTTGGAGGAGGGACGTGGTGGCCTGGGTGGCTTCGTCACGGGCTCGTAACAGGAAGAAGTTGGCGGGCACAGAACGGCACGCCTGAGAAAGCGCCGTGCGAGCAGAGCCCTCGCTGAAAAGGGCTTAGAAGTACTGTGCCTTCGTTCATGTGTTAAGTGTTTTTGATGGAGGTGGGCCACATAAGCACCATTTTTAAGGCCTTGTCACTAAAGCTTGAGCACAGCCCAGGTTGCTCGTTTAAACCAAATTCTTCACCGCTTTCTTCCGCAGGGTGAAGGAAGAGACGAAATCCACCTAAGATGGCTGCAGCTGGACAGCACCTGTCAGCGTGTAGTTGTCATAGGTTAGCTTCTCTGGTTGCCTCCCATTCCACAGGATTTATATTTTATATATGTTTCTGTATATATTTCTATATAAATATATAAATGACTTGAGAACTGTAAATTATTCCTTGCTGCACTCCGCTGGGAGCAGACAGGGAGGATTCTGCGGAGTAGACAGACCTGCACTGCCCAGATTTGGTGACTGGGAAGTTTCACTCTTGCCTTCCACTGCCTCCTTAGTGTGTCTTTAACAACATCACCTCCTTTCTTTACTCTCTCCTCTGAAGTAACCACCCTTGGAAAAGAATAATTTAAGTAGAAGTAGTGTCTGCATTTCAGGTTAGGTGGAAAGATGGCCATGAATACTTTTTTTTTTTTTTTTTTTCCTTTTTTTTTTTTTTTTTTTGTGGGAGAATATGAGTTCCCAAATGAAGCCTGTGAGAGACTGACTATTCCTTTGGTCTTCAGTTTGATTCCACCGTGGCAAGTAACTGCAAGCTGGTACCACTTCTCAGGGTCAAATAGTGCAGTTCTTGAATAGAGTTGGCTACCTCCCTGCAGCAAACTTGTGGAAAGAGATGAAGCAGCTTAAAAGCAATCTGAAAGGCTCGTTAGTGAATCAGCCCAAGAGCCCTGCAGGTGCAGATCTGGAAAATGCAAAATGGAAATCACCCTAATGTGGTGGTTAACGTTTTCCAAGATCTTGCAGATCCAGTTAGTGTGCAGCATTATGCATCTCGAGTAAGAGAAGGGATGAATTTTTTTTACCTTTTTTTCTATACCTATGCCCCTTTTTGGAGGGGAAAAGTGAGTTACTGCCCATTTGGCTGCCTGCTTTGCTTTTCCTGCTTGTTCTGCCCTCAGCTATCTGTGCCCTCATGGGCTTTCTCAGTACGGATCCGTGTCCTAGGCTGAAACCACTGCAGGAATTCCCAGCGCATCCAAAGGCCAGACCGAACAGAGCCTGGCTGAAACCTCCTGTCAACGTGTGTCACTCGCTGAAAAACTCTGCTCTGAAGCGAAGTACAAATGTTTTCAGTTTGAAGCTTTCCTCTCTCCTGCTCTCAAGGCCAGTAAATACGGAGAACCTTTTCATCAGCCCTCCGAGCTGTTATCTTTATAAGGGAACAGCAGATGGGGCTCTGTACGTTTTTATAACTACTCCTCTTCCTACTCCCACTCATTATCTCACACCCAAAAGTCTTTTGTGGCTAGAACTGGCCTTTCTCTTGCATCTCGTTTTGTACAGCTGATGGTTGGATGAGCCTTTGGTGAAATGCTTTGCAGAAGTGTTGCAGGCAGTTTTGACTCGCTGCTCTCCTTTCTCAGGGGGATTCCTCTGTCCATAAGAGGATCTGTACCTCCCGCGGAGCGCTGCCCATGGTTTCAACTCTAATAATGCTGCTAACTTAACACAGGTTATTTTTAAAATGTTTTATTTTTTTAAATACTTTTTTTCCCTTTTCCACCGTGAGTTTTTTAGTCTCTTTGGATCTGAGTGACGTGTCACTCCCGCTCTTCAGTGTTTGTATGTGAAGCGAGAGGAATCAGTGTATCTTTGTGTCTGGGGGGGGAAATATATTGTGGTTTTTTAAAGATGCTTTTATTTTGAATTTTGAGAATCTTTGTAATAAAACTGGTACATTTCTATGGTTGGTGTGAGTTTGTACTGCTTTCTGCTGAGAGGAGACACACTGTTAGAGTAGGAGTTCAGTTTGTTTTCAGAGTAATTGCTGGAAAATGCTGCAGTACCTTGGTCATGATCACAGTGTGTAGGTCTCAACAACAAAAAATGATAGCTGTAGTAAGGCTTTGGAAAGAAAGGCAAGGTGAGGCGTGATTACTTCCCCTCTTTTCAAGAAGGGGGCTAGATGTGTTGGTGCAAATGCAGCCACCAAAGTGGTTTTTTTGGAACATTCTCTGGGCTGCATATGACAGATTGATTTAGTTTCTTTTGTAGATATTTGTTCTTTTTTTTTACCTCCTCTGTTTTGTAAAGCAGCCTTGAAATTCCCCTCATGACCCTTCTCTCCAGAAGGGGTAAGTCAAAATACTGTGGGTTTTGTTTACTCGAGTCTTTTACTAAAGGTCACTGAGGCAGTTCTGCCTCTTTCCTAAATTACAGCTGGGTTCCCATCCAGCAGCATTGCTGATGCTAATTGGGTTTGTAATTTGTTTGGAGCTACAGTACTTCATGTGGCTGACTCTTGCTCTGAAAGCAATGTTCATCTAGAAAAGGAATAATAAGTTATGGGAAGAGAGTATTTTTTGGATGAACTTAAGTGTTTTCTATCTGGTATTCCAGCGAAAAAATTTTCTTTAATATAATTAGGAGCAGATTAACTCTGCAACTGAGTGGTGATCACAGCTGAAATGGACACAAAAGGTTCATAAGCCAAATCTGCTGTTTATGTTGCAGTTAAGAAAAGCTTTGCACGGCACAGTTGACCTTAATTGCTGCAATAATACTCTGGGAAACTTAGTTATCCTTTTCACCACAGCACATAATTAAAATCCTCTTGTCCTTGAACAAAAACAACTGTACGATTCACGCTACCCCTGCCAGATCACGCATGCCAATGTGCAACTGCAGTCCTTCTCCCTTCCAGTGTTTCTTAAAATGGCTGCCACGATGCCGCGCGGCAGCTCGGCTCCGCGGCGGATGCACGGAGCCCCGCATCCTGGCGGGGCACGACGCAGCTGCGTCCCGCCTGGCAGGCAGCGAGCACGCTTAGAAATAATTTGCAGACCACAGTGCCTACATCTAAAATACCTTTTTTTTTTTTTTCCCCCCCAAAAATGAATAGGGATTAATATTGTGCTGCATTTGGGAGCTGGCCCCTTGCTTTAGCTTCCTGCTGTTGCTGGGAGGATGTGCTACATCAAACTAAGAGTTCTGGCCATTTCCACCTACCTCAAGGGCCACAGAAGAGCAGTGACGGTCCTTGCCCCAGGCCCTACCTTGCCAGGGTGCTGCCAGTTGGGTAAACGATGGTCTCCTGTTTTTCTCTGTTGTCTTTGCCAGCCGGAACAGCAGGGGCAGGTGATTAGATGGGAATTAGGAGCAGGCCATTAAATGGAGGGGCTGAGCGCTGCTGCTGCAGCCCTGGAGCTCTGAGCTGCTCCTTCCTTCTGCTGCATGCCTGGCTCGGGGAAGAATCACCTCTGTCCTTGTGCAGGTGGCAGGAGAAGTGGGAGAGGCACCCACTGTGTTTTCATTTTCTCTTGGAAAGTAAATATTTGCTCTCAGTTCATAGTTCTTGTGCTCTAGCATGTCTTTTCAGGAAAGAGGAGCCAATCCTATTCTAAAGCCACTAAAAAAATTATTTAAAATTAAAGAAACCAAGCTTAAAATGGGAATTTCACCCAGTAGCCCTCCTGGGCCCCTCCTTATGAGAAAAGGATTTTTCTTATTCTCCCTCCACCAGGAAAACATGGGTTAGATCTCTAAGAAAGCAGGTAGCGAGCAGCCAGCTGAACAGCGCTCCGAAGGTAGCGCCAAGAGGTTGTGTGAGAAAGTCCTTTGTGGCTGGAGCTCTACATCTGCTGCAAGTCAATTAACCACGAGCAGAGCCAGGGCTGGAGTGATTAAATGCAGCAGCTGTTGAACTAAATAAGCAACTGCTATCTTCCCTGGCCCTTGTCTGGCATCCGGGACAAGAAGGACTCAAGCTCACCCATAAAGGGGTCACCATTTATTCCTTTCAAATGTTACAAGAAAGCCCATACAGCTTTTTTTTTTTTTTTTTTAGAAGTTAGAAAATTGCAAATCAAGTGTTTTGGCCATTAAAAAATTATTTACAGAGGAAACAATGTTGCTTCACATTATACAGCTGGCAGGCCCCCTCCCTCCACCCCCACACCCTAAAAGTTATCCCTTAGAAGCAGAATTAAACACAGCGGACTTACAAGCTTTATGGATTTAAGCCAATAGTAAGACATTATAAAAAACTAACCAGATTAGCTTTTAAACCATTGATTTCTATAAAAAGCACAAAATACTTTAAATGAAGTCAGAACCAGGAATGTAAACTGAGAAAAAAGAATCTGTTGAACAGTCACTGGCTCGCTGGGCTTCGAAGGCTGCCGGGGGGAGAGGGGGGACAGTCAGGAGGCCAGCAGAGATACCAGAGCGGGGTGGGAGATCTGGGCTCTTACAAACTGTAAATTCCAGTTATGTCCAGGATCATCTTCCTCCACAGTTTTAAAGGATCCAGGTAAAACTACTCCAAGTTGTGGTGGCAGTGGTGGGAATCCAAACCAGCTTTCTCTAACAGGGGAGGGGGAAGAAATAACTCAGGAGGGGGTTTGGTTTTAGAAAGCGTTGTCAGTTCTAGGTGGGACGGGGAGGCGTGTGGGCCAGGCAGCGAGTCCGTGGTGTTACCGGGATGGAGAGGATGGCGTAAGAGTCTTAAGTTGGGATGATGCCAAGTGGGATCTACTCTTCCTTCTGCTCCGCCGCCGGAGCTGTTGTAGGCTCCGGCCCCGCAGGTTTTGAGGGCTCCTCCGGTTTGGCTGTATCCCCGTGGCTTTCCTCCGGCTGCTGGTTTTCTTCC